CCTTCTTGTTCACCATGTTGTGTAGAGGATGGGCCTGGGGAAAATCTGATGTGTCGTAGAGGTCCGTATGCTGGACCATATCACTATACACATCCTCAGTCTTGATCTCAAGGAGCAGGTTGTCCGTGTCAGTATAGGAGTATAGGAGCTGGCAGTGTCCTCCATATTGAGCCTTTATCTGGTTGTAATAGAAGCTGTACATCAGGTACTTTGAAAGATCGAGGACACTCATCCCGACATAAACAGGTCGGTTGAGAACCAGGCGACTCTTGTCCATCTTTACTGCCGCAAGGTGTTCATCAAATATGATGGCTCTGGCGAAGGCTGGCTGGGCTATCAGGCGGTGCAGCGTGTCTTCCTCATTTTTACGCACCAGCTTGACATCAACCCGCTTGCGGAGGTTTCCCATGGTCTTTCCAAAGACTGAGTTGTTCATCAGCTTGTACAGGTCCTTTTCAAAGCCACTCGTAGCCCTCTTCCGAAGTTCAGTGTTCATCCTGATAAAGGGCTCCATCCAGGGGCTCTGCTCAAATGCCAAGGCCCGGTGAATCTTCGTAAGGCGCATGCCCAGTGACAGGTAAAGTTGCAGGTTGCGGTAGGGAAGCACATAGCGTTCCTTGCTGCGGAGGTTAGACACCAGCTTCTCAACCTCGGTAGGCGCCACCCCAACTCCAAGAGATTGTGTTGGTACTCTGACATCCACTCTTTCTTGACCTGCATGCGCTCCGGTGCCAGCAGATATGCATTGTATGCCTCATGTAGCTACTCTGGATTTTCGAGGTCTACCTCCAGGATATAGCCCTCTGGGCTGTTGGCCGGGTGGCCAGCTATGCTTGCAGCTAGGCCCTCGCGACCATCTACCCATTGAAAACCGCTCGTGGGCAGAGACTTACTCATAGCCCAAATGTAGAGGTTATTTGCATCAAGACAGAGGATGTGACTGTTCGGCTTTTCTGGGTTATAGCACTCGACTCGTGGGTTATTGGCCTTTGCATAGCACTTTGTGACCCTGGAGATACCTCCTCGCAGGCCCGTCTCAATGAACAAGTGCGTGTCATAGTTTGCAAGCAGCTCAAGCTCAACTCCTGTTTTTGTAAGCAGGGCATCCCAAGAGAGGCTAGGGCTCGTATAGTAGTGAGCGGGGTCTAGGTCAAACTGATACAGGCAGGTCATCCAAAATGTCTCAAAGACATCTGCCAGCAGTAAGACATCAGTGCGGTTATAGAGGTCGTGATTGTCCCCAAGGGTTTCGAAGACCTTCCGGACCTTTTGCGCCTGGACACAGTGTCTCCGAAAGCACGGTATAAAAGGCCTTTTTTGGGAAGGGGGGTAGTTCGGGCTCCGCAAAGCGCTCCCAGGAGTCCATATACTCGTAGGGATAGATGCCCCTTTGCATCAAAAGCTCTCGCCGCTGTTAGTTGGGTTCATACTGGGCTGTCATCTGAAATGCATCTGGTTGGCTAGCCCTCACCAGCTTATCGAGTGATGCCAAAAGGAACTGAGCACTTTCGATAAAGCGGAGCTGCCCCAGAGAGAAGGTGGTGTACTTCTCTGTGTTGTTAGGGATACAGGATATGCTGCCCCTTACCTTTGAGATTGCCTGCATCAGCAGGTGGTAATCATAGGCCCGTAGATTGTGAAAGACTACTGGAATGGCTGTGGTTTGGGGTCTTTGCCGCAGTTTCAGGTTACACGCGTTGTGTGCAGTACCCCTTTTTTCCGTTGATGTGGCAGTGGTCACAGACAGAGTTACCCTCAAGTGACTTTTAACATACGTGGCTGATTGAAGCACTGTTGTCTGCCTGCAGGTCCTCCAGGGTCATTAAAATGGCTTTCGGGTAGCTAGCACCGTCTTAATCTTCCGCTCCTCTTCTTGGAGAGCTCTTGAGAAGTGCTCTGCAGCATTTAGCCCGCTGTACTCCACAGGAGGCTCGGTTTGCGCTTCGCACCTCACCACGATATAGCAGTAGCTGCATGCTTCGTGGTGCTTTGGGTGTTGCTTTTTGTAGGGCGATGCCAGCAAGTATTGGTCCTTTAGGCTGTTTGGCAATTTTCTTTGGAAAAACTGGAGAAATACTTCAAACAGGACTTTCAAATGTGATTTCTATTAGTTTTCTTTTGAGAAAATTCGTTTTTCTTTTATTTCGCTCATTTCAAATATTTTCTTTTCAGACAGAAGAGGTCTGTCATGATTGTTTCACACGCTACCCAAATTGTACCCTTTTCGGTGGTTTTGTTATTAAGTGGCAAACAATTTATTAAATGATGTCAGACACAAGAAAATATCACTTTCGTCGTCTGCTAGTATAATTTGCGAGCTGCCGGCACACTGAAGGCTGCTGTGCATGCGCGACTGCAAAACGAACTGTCCACACGGCCTGTGGCAGTGAAACACACTTGTGTTGCACTCTCAATGCCACGCAAAGTTACGTTCCTCTCCACCTTCAACATATCAAACTCTATTTCAGAACAAATCTCACAATTATTTTGACCAGCTAAAAATACAATTTTAAGTTTAAGCATTTTGTAAGATATAAATGTGCAATATTGTGCATTTTCTGCACGTCCTCAAAACTGCGCCACAACGATGCCAGTTACACGTACCTTCATCATGCTACATGCGTGCCAATTGCACCTTTCTCCCATGTATCTACCAAACATAAACACAAAATTTGACCTCGCGTGTTTCCGAAATCAGCCCAGTTGAAAAGAAATTATGCCTAGGCCCCCTACCTCTTATTTCTGTCGTGCTGATTTTCGTCAGATAAATTCAGGGTATGTTGATTTTGGGGTGGCCAATCCACCTACAATCTGATGTAGAAAAAGTTCAAGCCCTTTCCCTTAAAATTTGATATGCTATTGTTATATGTTACATGCCGAAAAATGCAAATATATTACTTTGCTTCATCTACAAGGAAAGAAACAGACATTTTCGTCCTCGTTGAGGTTAGGTGAGTATAAATCAGAAATAGACCTTTAGTAAGAGACTGTACGGGGAATACATATGCCACTTACAGACGTTTAATGCAGACTGCTATAGTTGCCAATTTTAGAAACGTTTGACACTCGGAACTATCAGAATTGACTACATCTGGTTCTTTTAAATGTAAACCAGCGATCAACAAATTGTGTGTTTGACGGTGTAGTTTCGTTGTTTCCTCCAACAATGGAGGAAGGAAAGCAGTGTTTCCACATTTTTGCACGATCCAACCAAGCTCTCCTTTGCTGAATGACTGTGTTTTGGGGCCACTTTTTCTGCTCCTTCTTGTTAAAACACCCGGGTCTTTTGACGACTTTACTGTCTGCAGCACTCGTCGGCATTAATCTGATGGAGACCGGATCCCCGCGATACAACGTCACGGATGTTTCCATAACAAAGTCAACTTAAACTCATTATGAGTGTGACTCTACTGTAATGCAAGGAAGACTACAAGGCGTAGATTGAACCTCCACCGTGACCAAAGAGATTTTTTGCCAATTCTGTTTGGCAACAGAAATACGTAATTAGCGTGATCATTGGCATGAAGAATGTTTGACATCTTTTTGAGGAACGTGCACTGAACGGTGCACTTTTTCAAATTGTTGAAAATTGACCAAACATTTCTGGACAAGTGAGGGCGCTTTTGCTTTGACGTAAATCCAGGAAGACGTGGTTCAGGTCGCCTGTTTTCGTGTTCAAATTGTGAATCCCAAATTTGCTATCTGGGAACATTTCTGTAAAAAGGACTTTTGCTGGTTTATTTGTGAGTACTTATAAAGCAATAAATTGCCAAAGAAAATAAAATCTCCCATAGCAGTGCTTTAAAAAAATGTAGAAATTTCCTCCGCACAAATGGGTGCAACATTGAGATTCAGTGCCTTGGCTTTAGTTCTGCTCATGAATATGCAATTATTATTAGCTTAAAAACCGAAGAAATCAAAATATGGGTTAAAATTGCACAACAAAAATTTTAAATAAGGTTAATTGAAACCCAAAGATGCGATTTCAATGGATTAAGTAAAATTTATAAAAAAAATTCCATTTCCTGTTTCCTTTAAACATTCAATCCACGTGCTGCCGGCCGGGTACATTTCAAAATGCAGTGCACACCTACGGGCGGTTTTCAAGAATTTCAGTTTTCAAAAGTCTTCAAAAGTTCATCATTTCATTTAATGGACGTTTTCATCCACACGAATGACTCTTTGGTGTCTACTCTAAGATGACAGGTAACTTTGATTGACTCCTGAATATTCAGCCAGGACAGCGGCCCTGTAAAGAGAGCCCAGAATTGTGAGGTGTTGCGTTATTTCCTTTGTAATTGTAATTTCCTTTGTAATTGGTGGCGTCTTATCAAACGCAGCTGGATTAGCATGCCGCGGTGCTTTGTCGCTCATCAATAGGGCCCTGGAGCACTTTTGTCCGCAGTGCTAATCCGCGGGCGCGCTAAGCCCTACTGTTTAAAAACAGTGACGGATTACCTTCAACAACTGCAAGCCGAAAAATGAAGGCAATTCCCAGCAGCAGGTCTTTATTTCCGAGACGGTCTTTCGTTACCCGGACCAGCTCTTTTGTCTCATTTCCGGCAACCCAGTTTTGATCCAGTTCCCGGCAAGTGGTTTTGATGAAAATGTAGTTCAAAAAGTATTACCAAAATTTCAACAATTTTTTACAAATTCAAATGAACATACGTGTATTTCTATGAAGTTCGATCAAATTTGTCAGTTACCTAAATCAAGGTAAATTTGTGCGAAAGATATTACAAAAACCACGATTGACTGTTTTTTAATCTCCTGGCAAGTAAAACTCAGGTCACTTGATGATCCATGGAGCACTCCATTTTCCCTTGGCTTCGCTTCCGGAATCACAGAGCAGAGCAAGACAATATCTATTTTGCCCCCCCCCCAAAAAAAAACCCGGCTAACGCCACCGATGAAGACAAGTACCACAAACTACATGTATGTTGTTTCAGAGTTGGTTCGTTTAGTAGCAACCAATTGAGAAACTGACACACTATGCAAACTGATGTCCAGGGTACAGACTTTATTAATCACAGCAAAGTGTAAATCTATTGAAAGAGCGTTGTTTCTGGAATTCACGGAGGTGACGACTGTGTAAATGAAGGTAAGCTCGAGGTACCTGTAGCACCCTTCCAATTTTTTCTCACCTGTTGGTGAGGTTGTTTCAACAATTTAGTCTTCCTAAAGACAAGCAACCTATTGTCCTTCAATGATGTCATTCCTCCAGAATGCACCCTTTTGGCTTATAGCAATAACATGAATTGACGAATTACAATGAAACAATTCCTATGAGTAGAGTTAAGAAAAGGTACTTATTCAATTATCGAAGTACAAGTTATCCCAACATTTTGTATTAAGGTGCAAGCATTACCATTAATTGGGTTACATAATAAAGAGCAGCAGGCAGAGAGATGAAGTCGGTCCAGTTATTTTCATTTTATAAGTGACTGCGAACTGTTGCTTACGATCCCATAACTTCACATTAACCACCAGCTTAAGACCAAACAACTGTTATGACCAAATAATGGAACAAACAAAAAATACTGAACGGTGGCGAAATCACCTGCAAAATTTTTCTGGAACAGTATTTTGAATCGCCAGAGACTTTCAAGATCTTTGCACACGGCACATGATTTATAAATGCATGTGCATGTATACTTCAAATTGCCGCTGGCATATCCGAACTGTTTCAATGCAATGTTGCAGCTATAAAACTCATCCCCTTAATTACATGTAGCTAAAGAGGAGAATGCTGCATCTTTTGTGTGTGACATTGTCAGAACTTACCTTTATACCGTGTCGAATCTTCCAGAGGTTTTTAAAAATGTTTTGTGGTTGACAATATTTTCATGAAATGCATTTCTCAAAAAAGTTATTTTTTCAAAGACAGGTGGGCCAGAAGTATTTCTTTTCCCTACTGCCTCCCTCAATGCGGTCAACATGAGAGAGTAAAAACCCAAATACCTAAACAAAAATCCTTTGTCGGAATGAAACAGAACTTTAATTAGCAGATGAACTCAAAATGAATGTCTCTTTATGCTTACCATAGAACGGCAAAGATCTTGAGGAACACCCCACTCTACCAACCAAGAAGAGGTTTTACAAACTTGGCTCTTCAAGGAGTTAGCCGCATCAAAAATATTAGACTTTTCAACAAATCTCTTAGTTTTTTGTGCTGAAAATACTGACACCGACAAGAGCATGACCCAAGTACTAACTCTTAAAGCTATACATGCAGTTAAAGAAAATATGCTTTTAAACTAAACCATCACCTAGTAACCAGCAGATTAGATTATTAACGCTGATTACTTGTGGAGACTGCAGCAAACTCAGGTTTAAGCTGCAGGGAACTCCACCAAGAGAGCTTCTCCAGGCTCCAGCTTCAGCCCATCCATGGAGATTTCCCCTTCCTTGCCGCTGCTGCTGACAACAATGGTTCCCGTCTCGGGGACATTGGTGGTGTCGGCGGTGTGGAAATTCTCCATGACCTTGTCCGTGCCAACATTCATGGCCACGAGGTAGAAGGGCCACTCTGGGTAGGCGCGAACGTACGAGATGAGACTGGTTGAGGTCACCACCTTAGTAAAGTTTCCTGCTACAATGGATGGCTTAGAGTGGTACTCTACCAGGGTGCTAAACTGATTCAGAGTGGACCCCTCATCCTTCTGTTGCACCTGTGCAAATATAATTGAAATAAACATACACATTGTGAAAGTTTATCAAGAACACTTTCACTGGCTTTGGAAAGGTTTTCAGAGTGATCAGTCCAATGAACGGACCTGAGATATAATGTCGAGCTTTGTTTTGATGGCACACCTACCGCAATACTGATATTTCTATTGAGTACTGGCAACCAGGTAGAGTTTCCAGAGGTGAAATTGCCAAACTCCGAGTCATTCCATAGTAGAGGAGCACGCTCTGCATCTCGAGACAACTCCATCCATTTGCTCTGTGAAATGGTGCCAAAAGAACTAATATAAAGTATCCTCATCATGAATTCTCGATCTATAGGAACTCTCTAAGCAAGAACACAATCACACTGGTCAAGAGTGTATTGCTTTAAAATAAGTATTTAAAGTCATTTTGCTGTGAAGCTAATGTGTCCTTGAAAGAGCACAGTCATCTTACATTGTATCTTTTGGCCTTCACATAAATTTGCGAGCACTTTATACTCGGTATTGTCCTGGGGTTGTAAAATAATTTACAAGCTTACTCGGGTGAGACTCAACCTACAACCTCTTGCTTAAATACAGAGATGCCAACTTGTCAAAATCCAAAAGTGTAACCTTTCGCACAATACCAAATTCCTTACAACTTTCAACAGAAAAACATTCAAACCCTAAGAGTGGAAATTTAGAGTAAAAGTCATGACTTATGAGGCCAGAAAAGAGGGCCAAAACATACAAATACAATCACCACAAAATATTGACAAAACAGAAAGTACCAACCTACCAACCCAATTTTTGAGAGGCATGTAATCAAACGCACAAGTCTTCTTTTCTTGGCGTGACTAATGTATTTTTTTGTTTTAGCTTGCTCCTCGCAAGGTGTCATAAGATCCAGCGTGGGCAAAATTTATCATGTTAGTTACATGTGTTCCCTAGGCCATAAGCTTCTCCACAAGAATGGCCCGGTTTTTTGGTATATTTGTCCTTGAATTCCTGCTCACTTGTTGCCATTGTGCAAAGCAAGTCCAGTTGCTCACCAAAAACCAACAAATAAACTCCTCCATATATAATCTCTCATCCTTGTCAACTCATGATTCATCATGTTCAACACGATAATGCAAATGTGCGTGTCACAATAGCAATGTACATGTACAGCACTGTACATATGTACACGTCTACATGTACAATGCATGGACGTACACAATCACATTGCAAATGAAGTGCAATCATGCCTATTCGCCTCAAGTTCATCATACCGTTAACTGGGGCATGTGGATGGTTAAACATCACTGGTTTCTACCACTACTTACGCAGCTTGTACACACAAACTGCACAATGCCAGCGACACATTTCTGATGTGCACATTGCAAGGCCGGCTCCAGGCTACCTTAAATAGAGTTTTATACACAACTGTATGGTTTTGTACCTTGTAGTAATCGTAAAAACAAATTGTAAACATTATGCATAAAGTGTACGAGTTGGCATCTCTGTTAATAGCAAAAAAATTACATCTTTCACAAAGAGAAGAAGGGTTTGAGCATTTCCAATGAAGGGCCAAAAATTGCCACCAAAAACACAAGCATTAAGTGGCTTTGAAAAGCTTACCTCGAACCTTCGAGCAACTGGGTCAACCACATCATCGAAGGAAGCAATTTCAATGTCTTCCATTCCCAACTCTTCACCGTAGTAAGTTATTGGGGTACCTGGCAAGGTGTAGAGCAGCATATTCAAGGCCTGGACATAGGTCTCACCGACCCGACTTCCAATACGCTTGATATCGTGGCTGCCAAGCTGAGGAATAAAACAAGACGAATCATTGCCACTTTCATTAATGTGTTTGGTTTCTTATCCTTGAAAAAGGTTATATGCCAGTTTTTAATATCTCTCTGCATGCATCGTTGCATGCCTATGGTCAAGTAACAAGAGCTCGAAGGGTTGAAAACAAGGCCTGCATTTAATGTCATATCCTGCTTCACTCACGAGGGCTCAGCCTAGCTTACATGTCTGCATTCGAGAGACAGTTTATCCATCTACAGTTTAACCTCAGCAATTCCTTTAATCTTTGTTCTATCTTCGAGTCCCCTCCCTTACACCAAATTACCACACAACTGTGAGCACACAGCTGTGGTGGTCACATTTCATGAAGCACTCAATCCAATCTGTTAATGTGATTGACAGTCTGATGCCACGCCAAAACCAGATTCACCAGTTCCCCCTTCTCAGACACATCCCTCAGCAGTACTTTGTACCCACCGCCCAAGTGTTCCAACGACTCTCTATGCCAGCCATCTTCTTGGCTTCTATGAAGTCGTCAACAGCCTTCATTATCTTCTCCCCGTCTAGTCGGCCATCCAACACCTCCACAAGACCCAAGTTGAAGGGGTAGTCAGCCAGATAGGAGTCATTCTTTCCATACTGCATGATTACCAGGTCCACATCATACTGAGACTGGGTCACCATCAGCCTGACATGGGAAAAAAAGGACACTTTTAGAAAATAACAAATGAGCTAAGAAACTAATACACCTCCACTGGAAACACAAAAACGAGCTTTCACAAAACTACCCAAAACCTATCGCATCACATCCTATCAAATTCCAAACTGGTTACCCGGTGTTGATAAAGGCAGCACTTTAAATCAAAAGAAGATAACAGAGTAAAAATCTTATGAAATAAGGGCAGTGGTCCCACCTGTACTTGCCCAAGTAGCTCTGAGTGTGCAGCAAGGAACGCCAGCCCTTCAAGATTTTGACCAACATCTCACTTGCAATGGCATCCTCGCTCATTCTATAATACTGCGGAACAAGGTAAAAAGTAAGAAGTAAACTGAAAATGTTTCAATTGAAGCAATGAGTGAAGTTTTATCAAACCGTCTTCAGAGCCAATTCAGTTTTCAGATTAGTCAATGAAAACTTCTGAAAATGACAACCAAGCAACAAATTAACCCCTGATATCTAGAGGGCACACTCACTGGATTAGAGTCACCGCCAGGTGTCTGGGAAGCAGGCTCTGGTTCCGGAGCTGGAGTGGGTTGGTCGGCTGGCTGTCCAACAGGCTCCCCACCTGCTGCCCCTGTGGTCATCATAGGACCAGCTGCTGCTCCTGATGTAGATGTCACAGCGGCAGGTGCAGCGGGTGTTGCTGCAGCAGGTGCAGCGGGTGTCGGTGCAGCAGGCGCAGCGGGTGTCGCTGCAGCAGGCGTCTCCACTCCAGACGTTGCAGTTGCTGTTTCCAAAAATTCAGAAATTGCAAAGAGTACTTGATACCAATATTACCAAGGAAATTATCAAGAATGCAATTTTTATTGACATCACAGAGCAGAGTATGCAATGCTGACGTATCAGATGTTACTTTCAATAAAAAACTTCTGAAGCTTACACTTCTTTGAGCCAACAATAAACTTTAACAGGCAAAAAGTTTACAAGAGCTGCAAATTTACAAAAACCTAGGAAAAGAAGCAACAAGGCTCCAAGTAAAATACAACTCCATGCTAAAGATACCAAAAATGAGAGGTGGCCTCTAATTGAAGTCTACAAAATGGCTGAAACTTACGGTCAGCTTGTCTACGACGTCTCGTACTGTCCCCTGCAACAAGAACATTTTTATATAATTGTGGCTCCACCACATACTCCACGTTGGTGAACACAAAGCCATCAATCTTGCGGTTCAGCCAGAAATCCATAGCATCCTGAAGGGGGAGCCAAATGCAATCAAGATTTTCAGTCCTTGTGATGTAACAATGTAAATGTAATCCAAGTAACAAGAGTCTGACAAGTTGGAATGAAGCATAAGGCCCTTCAAAGATGATTGGAAATTTAACAGTTTCAACCATAACAAGTTGAAAAAGGAACCACAAACAATTTTCATCTGATTAAATTTGCTTTTTATGGGGCACTCTCTGAAAAGCTCTCGTGGTCATTTTGAAGGCTCTTGTAATTTTGTTTCCAAAAACAAGACTGAACTGTGAAGTCCAAAAAAATGAACAAAAACATTTTCTCCTCAGTAACTTCCGATTATTAACAGCACACAATATTTAAGACAGCACAATATATTTGCAGACACTGTACATGAAAGATGCTCAACTCCTCCACTTCTCTCTTAAACTGGTACATACACGTCAAGACTTGCACAGACCAAAATCACAATCACACAAAAACAAGGTTTCACAGAAAGTAGTGGTAACTTCCGAGGAAGTAGTCTTAATGCCTTTAGGATGACTTACGAGCATTGTCTTGTTCAATGCTTCACTGTAGTAATTCAGATCCGGCTGGGAAGATAAGAACCGATGGTAATAGAACTGGCCTCGCTCAGCCACATATGTCCAAGCTGACTCCCCATAGGCATTTTGCTGCATGAAAACAAATTCATTAATATTACACAATTGAAATGTGACCAGTTCATGATTACTGTTGGCAATTAGCCAAGCTCTCTGGAAATCCAATCTAACAGCTGCAGTCCAGCACTTGTCAATCAAGGGCCTATGGAGAAGGAGATGTTAGTTTTACAGGAAGGCAGAGGGCAAGCAGGAAAAACTTGGATCGGGTAGACTCTTTACGGAGTAGGATGGAATATCGAAACTAATCCCCACTGTCCCTGTGGGAACTTTTGTTCTTGGTTCCCTGAACTGGTTTGATATGTTATCCACTTATAAAACTATAAGCTTGAGTGGTTTTACTTTCACTGCTTGGCATGAAAGAGGTTTTGTACTACGCTTCTGAGACATTTCAAAAGAAATGCAAACCCTGTATTCATGTTAAGATGGCATGATTTGGGTTTTCTAGTCTTATCTGATACCAACAAGCAACTTCGCTGTATAAACTCCGGCTAAGTCTGCACTGTCAGGACTCAAGAAACTATGACAACTTACACGAATGCTGATGTATTGCCACATACATTATGATTCCTTGCACTAATTCAATGGTTTTGATGTACCCTGGTTTATTTCTACCTCTACATGTACGGTCGATCCCCACAAATTCGTTCTCGTTTATTATCCTGCAAATTCGATAATTGATCATGTGCCCTAGGGAGGAAGAAAGGAAGGCAAGCCACTTGCATATCACATCACGACTAGACAGTGCAGTACGTACGTGTACGTGATACAGTTTCGGTACAGAAAACATACATTTATCCACACACACTTTGGTTAAGTTCGTTCTATATGGTCTGGATACCAGATCCGATGATTCTGACTACCCGACGAATCATTATCAAGGGTCGTCCGGGAATCTTACGTTCAATAAGGCAACTTGTCACTTGACACTTTTTGGCAACTGCGGCAAGGGAAACGGACGGACGGACGGACGGATGGATGCGGAGTCAACACAGTACATGCAGTATGCGGTTCGTAAGTGTGATACCACTTCAGTTTAAACCATGCCCACTGCCTAAGATACACGGCCATCGCAGGTACGTTAGTTCGCGGTAAATTGCCATTGTTTTTCTTTTGATTTCACGTGTCATTCTGAAAGACTCTTCAACAAAAATCTGCAGCCTGAAAAGGCTGAATTTAACATACCTTTATGTATTTTGTGTCTTAACTCCTTACTTTCAATCGTCTGATTGTAATAAGAATTGAAACTGACACATGCAGCCTCGTTTTCAAATGCGGAAGAGCGCAGATCGACGCTTACAGTGTTGTGTTGGGATCCCTCTATACCGAAGCACAATTTTTTGTAATGCCAACTTACACAAAGGAATTTTTGTGGTTTTGTGGAAAAAGGACAGAGAAAAACCACACTGATATGTACGAAATGAGGACTTAGAAACGAAATTTTCAATGGAAATACATTACAGACGATCAGGACTTTTGTCAAGCGGCCGACTTGGATGATATGACAGGTTACGCTATGTCGACTTAGTCCGAGTTTACTGTATTTCCTTCAAATGGTTATTTTCCAATGTCAGTTAAAATATTCTGGAAAAGCTCATTCCTAAGGGCTTGGACTGAAATTCACAGCAATACAAATACCACAACTGTTTCAAAGCTGATGTCCATTCTCACAGAATAGAATAAGTTTGTTAATTTTACATTCTGCAAGAAAAACTACCAAATGTTAAGCCCTTATCAGACAGGCTTAAAGTCAGGAGTGTCTTCTTACCCAATTATTTGGTGGGTCTTGGCCAGTGCCTCCTGTCCCATTGGCCCAGACATAGTAGTCACTGTACTTGTTGTCCCGTCCCTTCTTGCTCTCTACAAACCAGGGGTGCTTGTCACTGGAGTGGTTGGGAACAAACTCCAGAATCAGCTTCATCTCTGTCATGGGAAGAATGGAAATGAGAAATCAATTCAATTTTGGGTTTGTATATGAAAATGTTCCACTCATAAAAGAAAAAAATACAATTGGCGTTATAGATTTAGATTTGCTTTTAGGAGCGAGTGGTAAATATCTTGACACAGGAATTGGACATGCAAAGCTGGTTAACAGGGTGTATTCCTTGGAATATCATTGTCTACCTCTGCCATGGCAGGCTTTTTTTTAACTAGTCACTGCTGGTTTTTACATCAACACCACAGCTACATGTACGTACCCCACAAATTAAGAGCAAAGTCACCTGCACATGTTTTGTTTTTAAAAAGCCCTACTTCATGCACGTACTCTAGGCAGCAGGGCAAGTGTTTTTATCCATCCCACTTTCTTTATCCCATCCACAATAACTCAACAGTTTAACATGTTCATTAAAAATGTTAAAACGTTAATGCATTGTCTCCTGCATTGCCAATGCCATTCAAATGGTCCAGAGAGAAATTGTATTTAATCTCATGTACGTATGTATGTGCAGCAATTAAACAGGATGAAATCTGATGTCCAACTATCAATTGAAACACTTCCTTGTAGAAATTTCCCGCTACAGCACTTACAGTGAGCAACAAATGCAATCAGCATTTACGCCAAGTGAAACAGTTGGAGTGAAAAATTTAACTATATACATGTACTAGGACGCCTTTAAACATTTCCATTGTATTCATACCTGCTTTACACCTGTTTTTAAAAGCCTACCCTGGTTCACTTCAACCTCATTTAGTAGACGCTACTTAAAATTAGTTATCACTTACTATACTCCTTATAATACTTAGAATAATCAACAGAACAAGTTTTACTTCACAGATATGCAACAACTCTGCATACAATGGGTAACTGAACAATGCAGGCCTTCCTGTTCAATCCGACCAGAACCAGATACAATGTGTGATTATATTACAGAGCTGCCATTGTGTTCAGTTTGGTAACCTACCCATGTGATAAGCTATCTCTAATAGTTCAATGTAAGGCTAACAAATTGCAAAATACAAGAGTACACATTACTTTAAAGACCCCAGTTCCATATACATGTACAGTCAAACACACAGCACTGCTAATACAAGGTTTTAATTAATACAAGGGCAATTTGAAGTTCCAAGTCTTTGTTTTTCTTTGTTTTCTATTACTAATAATGCAAGGTACATATTGCTGAAGTCCCAAGGACCTTGTTATTACAGTGTTCCACTGTAACCATCTTAACTGACGGGTACCCTGACAAAAAGCTCACCACTACCCTACAATTTGTCATTTCTATACTGATAAATTGCAACAGTCATCCTAAGGGAATCCAATTATTGGCTACATCCTTTTTGTAATACCAGACTTATGGACCATGTCCAACATCCTGTTTTTCAAAAACTGTTCTGAATTTTCTGGGGAAATTTCATTGAAAGCACATATCAGTATGTACATGAACTACAAAGCTTTTGGGGTAAGAAAGCATATGTTTGTCACAGGAATTTGAACAAATCTGAACTGGATAACATGTGAAGGCAGAGTAAGTCTGATAATAAATTTTGTAACAAAAATAAAGGCATGGGTCAGAAGTTTTAGAAATTCAACAGCACACTATTATTATTGTAAGCAAAAAAATCCCTGAGGAAACATGATGTATTGATGTTGAGCTTAAACAGTGTTGAAGGTTAGGGTAGGATGTTACATATGTATTGGAGGGGGGAGAAAATGGACTGGATGAACAAAATGACCAACCTTTTTCCAGCAAAGCAACGACCAACTCGTCAAATTGGGTCAGGTTACCAAGCAAGGGGTCCACATTAGTGAAGTTGACAATGTCATAGCCAATGTCTGTGGTCTCGTTGGACTGCTCAAAGATGGAGTTTAAGTACAGAATTTTGATGCCAATGCTATCCAGGTAGTCCAAGTTTTGGATAATCCCTGAAATCACACAAGAAATCAAATGAAACAGAAAGATTAATTTATTAAATAAGAAGTTGCGTGCAATATATACCAACATATTTCCTTTACACTACATTGGGGGCAAGTCCAGTAATAATCCCCATAACCCTGCTTCCTTTTTTTTCCAAGCAATTTATTCCAGACACTGGAATAATATGAATCCTGAACCAACAGGGGTCTTTTCATCAGTGCCACTCAAAGGATTAAGCTTGATTCTCTTCACTGCATGCCAGCTACACAGCAGGGGGCAAAATCCTTCGTGCACACCAAATACCATGCCTGCAGGTTTAACCTTTTACTATGCAGTAAGAAATTCAGATGAGGTAAATGCCAGATAGGCAGTGCATGAAAGGAATGTTTAGTTCCTTGAAAAGCCATGTATGGTATATGTCTGCATACCCCCATAAATTTTGCTCTGAGGGTATTTAACTTAATACAGGACTTCCTGTATGACAAGATTGCTGGTATGAATTAATGACTGGTCATGTGTACATGTACATGGTTCCTATATTCACAGCAAGTACATGCCTCCAAAAGTGAATTGGCAATTATCTTTCATTGACAAAACTGAAGCTGGGAAGTGTCCTTTGCATACAAGAGTTCAAACATGAGGAACAAACATGATTAAATAGCACCTAGTTCTTACATGGACATCTGCCCAAGTTGGCTGTAAACATTAGCTTTGTTCTCTTCCTTTTAACTATTCACAGTTATGTATAACAAAGGACAATTTGTATCCATGTACAAGTACACTGCACAAATAATGCTGAAATCGCAAGATTGAACATTTTGTTATGGAATAAAAACAAAGGCTATGAGACTGGTCTGAAATACTGTGAGTGCTTTTCTCGTAAATGCTTTAATATTTTCCCTAATAAATATGGCTTTTCAGGACAAATTACTTTCTGATGGCCAAGAAACATCTGCAAGGGAATACTAGTGGCATCTGTGTATGAAGTAGAATATTTATTTATTGGTAACTCAACTTTCCTGTGTAGAACAGTGTCATATTTCACTAAAATTTGCCAATTTACTATACATGTAAAAGTGGGGAAAACAATCGGAAAAAATTTGTTTTGGCCTCTGGTCTACCCCAAATTGTCAAATTCTGTCCTTATTTACATTTTTCTATTAAAAGCATAACAGGAGTACATCGTAAAGGCTTTTTATTGTCAAGGTTGTTGAGGTAACTGAATAATTTGAAAGTACTTGGTAGAAATTCCAAATGAATTCTCCACCAGGGTGATTACCAAGGCAGCCTTCAAAAGAGTGGCCACCAATTTGATTTCAGAGGGTTACTGCAATATACCTGTAGTTTGTACCTGTGACTGGGAAAGTATAAGTGTTCATCTGCTAAATTCAGGCTTCGATCTTTACAGCGGGCACCAGCGGCCACTGCCGCGATGCCCCAGTGAATTGCCGTGATGCCCTTTAAAAATGGCGCATACCTTTCGGCCACTTGGCCACGGCGATGTGCACCTCATCAATGATCAATACTAGGCCAACGTGTATTTAACGTTTCAAGTTACTTTCTAGTTACTGTTTAGCGATAGCGTTTCTGTCAATGTCCAGCCAGCCGCACGAGCACTATTTTTTTTTCACGGACTGGTTTCGCATCGCCCTGTGGACAACATGGTATGGCAACCATACCAACGTAGTTGAGTTGTGTGACTCTAAAAACATGGCACCAGACTACTTTTATACATAGGCTGATAACAAGTCGTGGTGCAGAATTACACATTCTGCACTGATTGCATTCTGTACACTGCACATATTGAGACCGAGTCACTATTTTGGGGGATTGTGGACGGGAAAATGACACAATCTATTTTTCCTTGCTATTTTACTGGTATTAACGTGGGCGCTGGGCATGACAGTGGGCTTCTATTGGATAGATGTTTGTGACTCAGTGACCGACTTGCTTGAATTGCATTGTTTGTAATTACAGTGATTTTTGAAATGCAGTGTTGCCTTTATGGCATCATGAAAAGTAATAAGACATAACACTAAATTAAAAGTTAAGACTGTATTGTATTTTATTTTTACAATTCAAGCAGACTGCTCGGCATGTGAACAGAGACAATGAAAATTGCAGGTTGAAAGTTTAAATTGAAGGAAAGTCTGTTGAAGTCACCAACAAGCATAAGCAAAAGTTTCAACGTGGCCTTGGTGCCCTTTCAGTTGGCCTTGATGCCCTTTGGTTTTTGGGAGCACTCAAGGCCAAGTGGCCTTGACCCTCTGAAGTACTTTAAGGTTGAAGCCTGTAAATTACAATGTTTACACTTTACACGCATGACACAAGGCGAATAATAATTAATTTGATGAATAGAGCCCACAATATTTATGATATACAAGTTCAAGATAAAGTTTAAAGCTGAAAGAAGTGAAAACAATAATTAACTTCAGTCATTCATCAGCTTTCTCTGACAAGTATACCAATATAATTATTCTTCTGACGTCAATCAATAAATTTGCACAATTAATAAATAACTGGAGAGCCATTGGTTATTACGCGCATTGACATTACACTGAGACAGATGGTGGAGCCAAGGTGTTGCATCATTCTGATCCGCGTGTTTTTGTCACGGGTACTCAGCTCAACAAACTGGCCCATAGGAAAGCCTCGGGCACCAGTGCAGACCACGGGCGAGAAAGCCCCTCATCACTTGTCCAATGCGTGAACATTGAAGTACACGTACTGTATACTGTACGTGTACTGTACATGTGCGAAGTAAGTGAAGTCAGCAATTTTGTCACGAAAATATCGGCATGATCAGGAGCCTTCTGCCACTGACTTTACAAAATAAAGTACGCACATGTGCGTACAGACTATTTCCGCATCATATGTGTCAAATTCATCGTTAAAAGGCAAAATGAAAACCGAAAGAAAATAAAACAATGGAGGAATAAATATTTAAAACCGAGGCTTTGACCTAGGCCTAATGCCTAGTACTAGATCATGTTGTAGAAGAGGTCATCAAATTCAACACTCAACTGCTCAATAGTTTAGCTAACCCCCAAAATGTATTTTGATGGGATCAGAAGTAATTTAGACCTTTTTCAACTATTACAAAAACGTACCTTTGATATCTCCAACACCATCCCCATTTGAGTCGCGGAATGAACGCGGGAAGATTTGGTAGACGGCGTTCTTTTCCCACCATGCGACATCCGGACAGCGCGGTACTTTGACTACAATCACGATGGCTGCGATCAGCATTGCCAACCAAGCGACCCAGAAAAGAATCAGGAGGATATTGCGGGTCCAATTCCATGCTGGTGTGTTGGCCACTTTCAGCAACTCTTCCTTGCCGAGGCCGGTCCATTCGCTGGACGCCTCCTCCTGCATTTGCCCGGGTTTCTCCGGGACATTGCCTTTCTCCAAGTCGGCCTTCTCCGGGTCGGTTGTCGGCGCCATTTCGTACTCGTAGTTAGCTTTTCTGCTGTCTCCCATCGTGCTGGCCTTATATACTCGGATCCTTGCCTATAAAATCAAGAAATAGGATCTTCCTGCTGAGAGCAGAGTCAAGATGACTAACATATGCTACCGTCAATCTTATTTTTCAGACAGGGTTAAGCTGAGTCAGTAAGTTCACGACTCGAAGTCTCACTGTGTTGGTGTTTTGTGTACTGTACACGTACATGTGCATCCCACGTTGTTATGGATGGTCCGTGGCGCGCGCGGAAGGCCGGCTTGCTGTGACCGGCGGGCAACCTTTGTGTCGATACCGCGCCTTGAAAACCGGAATGAACCGGTTTGCCAATTGACTTCCACAAGTCCTTTTGGCAGTTGCGTATTTACGTGCTAGTGCGTATCATGGGCTCAAGTCATTTTGCTCCCTTGGAGGTGGATGATAAAGTAGCCGCCCCAGAGCCTACGTACTTAAATTGGTGAAGATGTTTGCCTGTTCGACAGGGAGCATGGAGGAAAATCAGCGTCGTATAAATGTAATTTCCTTTCATTGGACAAGCGGTTTGCAAATGATTTTTACAGTGTGGGGAGTGGGTTGAAGGTACAAAATGTTCAGAGATACTAACTTTTATCCAATTATTGTCCCCAATGTTTGTTTCTGGGCATATTATTTAGATGGGGCAGTCAGTGAGATCTGCTTAAGTATAACATCAGTCACGGGGCTTCATGTGGAAATATTGGTCCTGGGATGAAAGGTGTAGAAGCATCCGAAGGTTTTCTGAAACACTTCCGACCAGCTCTATGACCCCCAAGCTGGGCCTAAAGAGGGAGCAAATTTTCGTAGCAACATTGGTCCTTTCATTGGTCGGAACTGAACTCCGCTGGTTCACGAACGACTACTGCGCGGCGCGTTAGAGTCGCATCGCTGCAAACAAAATAAACAGTACCGACCAACATTGGCTCTTTTCAACCACTGAAGGGGTGCTTCTGCTCAAGGTGGATAGTGTACATTTCAGAGGCCCATCCATCATCCAGCAGAGCAAACTGTGGCGTAACGAGGGCTGCATATCCGTGGAGAAGGCACCCTAGGGCACACACACTTTTTTTTATTAGGAGACCACAAAAAAACAGGCTGCAGGTGCATATTACTGAGATTATTCACAGATTTCAAATGGGGAAGGGCACCCGAGGGCACGGGCATCGGCGGAGGGCACGTGCGTCCCCCCCCCCCTGCACTCCAGTGACCACACGACTTTTACCTGTAGAGCCGATCAACTGTGACTTATGGGTTGTTTTCCTTTCAAACTTTCAAATGGGGCCACTTGGGGGGCGCGGACTCCCACTAGGGGGCGTGCACCTCCATGCTCCCTCCGCTGTATGGCACTGGACGCGTGTCAGCTGGAAGGCCGTCAGAAAGCACGCCATCGACTTATAACAAGTTTAAATAACACCCCAAGTACGTGTGCATTTTATAAAAGATCAGTCGATTCCATAAAGGACTAGGGATTAGCAAATGATATTGAGAATTTTAAATGGAGCTGATATTGCAATAAACGTTTACGTTGAATTAAAATACAGTTTCTTTTCAAAAGTTCCAACTATAGAATTTATGCCATTGGTTTCGGAAAAGATGGATTGGGCCTATTCAAACCTCATAGGAATCGCGCCAATATTTCACAATGGATTCCACCAATTTCAGATGGTGAATATTCATGTCCGTCATTGCATTCACCGTGAGTCAATATAGTGGCCGTTTTTTAAAACTCGACCACGTCCCCGTATCAGGTGTGTCTCCAAAATCAAACCCCAGCTGAAGGCCTGAGGCGTGCAAATTATATGAGAGTACTGTAAATTATTTTTCTATTCCACTTCTCAGGCCCCAAAAAGGCTCCGGTTTCTGGTCAGGAGCTGGCTTCAAAAATGGTGCGGCGATGTGGCTTTTGTTTTTACCCTCACTTTTTTCTGGAAATGTACACGTACACGCGTAACGCTCGATGTCCACTGCATGCGCACGTAACGCGAAGGCTGGCCAATACCAACGCTAAAATGGGCTGGCCTCTGCACTTTTCTCTGTTTTAAATTTCAGCTTCTACATATACACAGGACCACCTCGTTTGTCTGATTCCCAGATATAAATGTGTATAATACAGAAATGACGTCATCTGAAACGAGTTCCCGACTAAATGTACGGGGAACTAGAAGGATTCCTTTACAGGACGTACTACTCAACCGTACCCCATCAAATAACGTTAAAACTTCGCAGTAGCAGGATTGCAGTCAGCTTCAGGTAAGAAAGTTTGGCAGCATTTGAACATCTTTTTTTACCAAATAAAACCTTTTTTATTTTGCCGACGCGACGCGCAGGTCTAGGGCGACGCACGCGCTGACCAGAAACTTATAGTATTGACGAACGACCTACAAAGGTCATGCAAAGTTTGCAGCGACATTGCATCCACTTCTACGGTATGATAAATGATTGCACATGGACATGCGCACTGTCGAAAACTGCACACCATGACCATGGTTTTCAGCAGTGCGCACGCACAGTCATTTGAGGTATGCTAAGAATTTTTCGGGTAAGCGTGCCAGATTTTACCAGACTGGTTTTCTGGCAGTTCGTCTCTTGTGAATAAAGCGCCCTCTACTAGTACTACAATTCGGCTGTGCTCGCCAGCCCATGTCGCCTGCACTTGGCACCGGCCAAAACAGTGCATGTAACTAGTCTTAGGGCAAGACTACTTCGACGGGTACGTTTGGCATTTGTAGTTCTTGGCGGCGAGGTTTTTTATTAACAGCATTCTATTCTATTACTAATTTATTTACACATTTTCCGAAATTGGCTGGGAAAACCTATAACAGAATGGTCAGCTAAATGTTTGAATATTCATGATTGAAATAAACCACTCATATACCTACTTTTGTAGGAAACTTATGAACATCGGCGCTGAGGGAACCTTCCTTCTTGTGCTGCCTTTCAATCATAGAAAACCTTATTTTTTTACAGTTCGAGAACAAATAAACAATAAATGAGTAACATAACGTTTATTTTCAGATTTGTGTAACCTTGTATTTTCTAACCAAACTGAAATGCGATTTCAAATTACAGCAAATGAAAACTTCCAAAGGGCCACCGAAAAGACAGATTTTCAGCGAATAAGAACGCACTTTCGCTGTAATTTTCTAGGAATACGCCAATCCCAAATCCCAGTCACGTATTTGTAAAACATAATGCAGAGTCATTACTTGAAGGATGCAAACGAAGTCGAATGCTTGTTATTGCGAAAGTGGAACTAGGTTTAATTTTTAAGTCGTTTTCAAAGTCTACGTTCAATTGAAATTTTGTTTTACAAATTAGATCGCGCATTTTCTGAAATTGACCTGGAAAACCCATATTAAATTCAAAGTCAACGCAATGAGAGAAACTTTATCTACATAAAAAATTATTCATTCTCAGGTAAAACTCAGCTTTTAATCAGATCAATGAGTGTCCCTGGAAAAAAACGGCAGTAGCTTAGTTTGGCTGCTTAGTTTCTAGCTCCGCTCACTTTGTGCTCATTCTCACACCTCCATGTGCCACATGTCGGTTTTCAATTTTATTCTATATATGAATGAATTTTAGTACAACATTGCCCACGAGTGTGCGAAATTAAAATTAATGCTTCATTTTATTTGGGAAATTTTTCAGTGTTGGCTCATCAAAACAAGACAGAAAAACACGTGGACAGTTTGGACAACATAATTTAATGAAAAAAACAATTGTGTGTCTTGGTGGAATTCTCACTCTGAACAAATCACGATTGAACCGACCCAAAGTGAAAATATTGCCAAAGCAAGACTGCAAACAACAGGTGTGAAAAATGAATTAAAACAAAACAAAAAATACACAAAGACAGAATAAAATGATAGATTTCTAGTGGGTTATATAAACTTTACTCAACAGAAATGTCAGCTCTCTGCTTCTCGCTTTGGTTACATCTCTGCCCCGAGGAAGAATTCTCTCACTCATTTCACATCGTCAGTCAACCGTTTTGGGTTCAGTGCGTCTACAAAAATCATTGCATTCTTGAAGATTTTTTGGTGCACTATTGAAATCTGGGGGAAATAACAGAAACATTTATCGTTCAATTTTTGAAGCCACTTTCGCCAGTACGTACTGGGGAGTAATATTTCAGACCAAACATTTTAAAGCATTATAAAGTGCAAGGAGCTTTCTGAAACTAAGTGCGACTCACATTTCACAAGCTGTTCCTTTTTCCAAACTGGACGTCAATCTGCGGTAACTCGCTGCTGTGCGCACACCTTAACCATTATTCTTTCCAAATTTGTCGATTCCCGGTGTAAAATTAGGTTTTCCTTCGAAATCGGACGATTGAAGCGCAATAACCTCAACCAGCAGTTTTGAAATCTCTGTTTGAAAGTGCATAAACCAAAATTCACAATGGTCGTTATTTACCCTCCTGAAAAATGCACATACTCGGGATCACGATGTCCTATCCAGTCTTTATAATGCAGATTAATCAGATCAACGAATCACCAGTTTGCGTGCACGTGGCGCGTTGCGCGCACGCAGGCTCCTAACTATAAACTTCTCTTATCTACTGATATCCGTTCTTTATACTTACGTGGCAGCGCGACACTTATTACACAGCTGCGGGCATTATCACTTCTCTGCGGTTGATATCACGGTCACGTGACGCATTTCGACCAATAGGAATAAATCACGCGCTGGCACATTGATACGAGATAGTTTAATGGAGTCTGATTGGCCAGTTGTAAACTGAAGTTTAAGACCTTTCTGTGGCTCGGGCATTCAAGTTAGTCGTGTCCATTCTCCCAAGCCGGTCTTAAGACTGGCCAAGCACATTAATTCATTCCCTTAATAAAACCTACCCGGCTACTTTTGCATTTTTTAATATTAGCTACTGTTTTATTCTGCCCAAAGCAGTAGATCTTTGTGTATCTGTGACATCTATACATTTTAACGATATTATTTTTGGAATATAGGCCTATAGAAGTTCAAACGTTTATGGAGCACCAAAGAAGCTACGGTTTGAGACTAAGTGGCTTTGTATAGTCCAAAGTAACAAAAAATCGTTAATTATTCCTTTGCTGTCTTAGAAATCACAGTATAAATGAAGATTCAGTTGTTTCCAAATTTGTAGGCCTATACAGTGCATTGTCTTTGGCAAATACGAAATTTCCAACTTTTATTTATAATATTGAATGAAACATCAAACAAGCTGTGGTTTGAGACTAAGTGTCTATATACTTGTAGTATGTAAAACAACTGTGAAATAACACTAACGCTTTAGAAATCACTGTGGGTTCTGTTTTCTGAACGCTTTGTTAATGCGCAAAATTATTATTCACGTTTACTTCACATCTTCAATTTGTTAATGAAAGTGTTTGGGTGTTTATTTCAACTTTTGTAAGCGAGTCAGTCACATAATGGGTATACTGTTTTCTATAGAGTGCTGATTTTATCAAACAACTGGGACAGAAAAGAATACCGTAAATGAGGACCACAAAGTTTTGTTTGAATGAACAAAATAACAATTCATTATATAATAAAAAATGTTAAATGTGCAATACTGTACTGTACTTTACAACAGTTATCCCCAGTAAACGAACCATACGAGCAGTATTGTACTGTATTTTTGCAACATTAACTGCTGTAAACTAATTTGTTTGTTACACGTATTTACTATGCTTTTGTGAATGCGGTAAAATGCCGTATATTTAACAGTAATGTTTTATGGTATAAATTTTGACCTCAATCAGAATATTGACACAAATGAGGCGTGGATACATTTGCCAAATAGGTTTGTGGTTTTCCATTCTTTACGCAAGTATTTGAAATTAGTCTGAAAAAATGTTTGTGCTTTTTGGAGGTAGTAAATGCGAACTATTGCATAAAAAAATAAATCGAAAGCGAAAACTGACAAATCTTACTTTTTTGTGTTCCAAACATGATTCCATTTAGGAGACAAACAATGCACATATATACCATTATCAGTGCACATTAAGAGTGTAAATAAAGTTCTGCCGCGATCAAGGCTTCTGAGTACGAGGTAAGTGTATCTTATACATAAGTATATTTGAACTGTTAAAATTAACGTGAAATTTGACAATCCTCTTTCAACAGAACTTATACCTAAATGCACATGTAGAATGAGCCAGTAATCAACGAAATAGTAACATGCTGTGTCTAATGTCTATATCAAATACTGGCGCCTGTGCTACCGCTAAAGTAATGTGAAACGTAATAGGAAAAAATTTACAGTGTACTTTTTATACGCAAACTTTCATCACACCAGAGAGGCCAACCAATGCATGCGATAATACCTCATCCACAGATTCTGTATCTTGATTCGCCGAAGTGTGCCACTTGCTAGTTTTACTATATATTTGTACCACAACTCCAAAAAGACCATACACATGCAGCCTCACTCTGAAAAGAACTATTTCCATGGCAACGAAACTAGGAACAGTACCCAGGCGTGTATTTCGCCGTTATCTGTCACGCTCGAACCCGTTGAACCAGGCTACATAACTGAACAAGTTACAGATACACACATTCTAAAGTCACACGCGATTTGCAGAGTGGAACACCAACACTTTGCTTTTTATTTTTTGATTTTAGCTTAAATTATACATAATCTGTGGATGAGGTATTTTTTATAAAACAAATATTGATTGCTTTATTTTTTTCCAATCAAGGCAGTCAATATTTGTATAATGTAATTTACATATTAAGAAGGAAAATTAAGTACAGCTGTAATAAAAAATTCTAGATACAAGGAAAGGGACTTGTGCCTTTATATGTAATAATTATTGAACAATAGTGTTGAATGAATCTAAAAAAATTGCTTCATCACTTGGTCACAGACCCCTAAAAATCATGTCCGTAATAGATGAAAATGGTTATTTACTGCATGAGCTGTCTACACTACATGAATGGAATTACTGTTACTTTTATAGTTGATTACTTTCCAATAAATGCCAGCGATCAACCATTAGAAAATTACTGAATTTCATTTAAAGTATATTTCTGGCACCTGCTCTGCTCGTAAAGTACTGTAAAAGAAATTTGGTGCATAATCTAATTTAGACAAGTGTTTAAATAGTATTAAATTTTACGAAAAAATACTTAACGCCATTATATTTGTCCCTACAAGACGCGTCGCGTCTTGCGTCGCGTCGTCATCCGTCGCGTCCTGCAGCAGTCTTATATTACGTCCTCTCCTTGTTGCCTTTGTTCTGCCTAAACGTAGCTCCTTCTGTCGCCCATCACGCCGCACCGATGTGGGTCGCGTCATGCGTCGCGTATTACTTCGCCTGAAGCAGATCTGATGACCGTGGGCGTCGCCATTTGAAAAACAAAAGCAGTGCTTCGTGTGCCAGATCATTTCAAGGCATATGACAGGCGCTCTGGTATAGGTTGTACCCATGGACGTGTATAAAAAAAAACCTGGACTTGCAACGCTTTTGTATGAAGAAGAAGCCAACCAGCGGCCATTTTACCGAGGGAATACAAATGCGCAGGTTAGCTCGCTTCTGTCGACGCCAGGGGGAACAAAGGCGGGCATTGCCAGGAAAGCTTTGTGTTGGGCTCGGTAAAATGGCCGCGAGTGGATTCAATGATCTCTATAAGCTGATTAAGGGCATTGCGAGTCCAGATTTTATTATACACATCCGTGGTTGTACCATTCAAAAGTGGTTCCCCGTCAACTGGCGTGACAAGCGAACGAGGAACAGGTGAAATTAACTTTGAATAATATTAACATGCATGTCACTGTACTATGCTCCACACACGAGCTGTGGGTGTACATGTACTTTACACTAGTAAAGTGCGCGCGCAACTTATTACTAAGTATACCACAATAACATGAATTATGCATCTCGGCACCTGTCGGGTGCCCTGACTTCCGGCGAACGAAGCACTATCTTCGTTTATCAAACTGGCGCCACAATTTATGGATTTACAAATAATTATTAGAAAGATCAGAATTAGAGCAGGAAAAGCTAAAACATTGTTACGGCTGACATTAATGCTATTTATTTCCTGGCGACAATGCTGATAGTTGGTCGCAACGCTCTTTCTGATTACATTTTACCTAACAAAAAAAAAAACAACCCAAAAACTTTTCAGCTGCAACTCATACAGAATCACGGCCTCCAACGTAGAGTATATACCCTGCAAGCACGGGGGCGGAAATGAAACAACAAAAAACAAAACCAAAAAAACAGTAAAAGCGCCCTCTATAAACGCCATGAAGGTAACGGCGACAGCACACGGCGCGTCGCCTTGTGAGTCGTGTCGTGCGTCACATCGTGCTTCAGGCAACGTAATACAGGACACAACACACGACACAACATACGACGCGACACACGACGGAGCGACGCAACGGGCAACGGAAGGAGCGACGTTTAGGCAGAAAAATTGCAATAAAGAAAGGACGTAAGACAGCATGACGCGACGGGCAACGGCACGACGGGAGGCGTTGTGTGTGTACAAACGCGTATGTGGCAAGAAGGCGAAGGTGCGACGCGACGGCATGACGAAAGGGAGACGTCGTGTAGTTGCGTCGCCCTGGAAAAGGCTAGAGAGAGGCGGAAATGTGTGTCATAAATAGTACGACATAAATTATATTCTGTCGGTGAAATTGATTTGTACAAAATGACGGCATTACATTACAATTACAACTGCATTATGAACGGTATAAATGTTGCCAAGACTTTCCAGCTCACATGCACTTTGGCAAATGCAACGTACCCCTAACTTGCTAAATGCGGCCTGTATAACAAGGAAGTGTCTGAGTAAGGGGTGAATGTCGAAGAACGTTCATTGGTACCAATTCCCCCAAAACACAAAGATCTGTTAAATTACAACGAGGAACGGATAACTTAGAACAACAGGAGGAAAGTCTTGTGTTCTGGTGGCCATGGATAACATTGAAACAAACTTGATCTTAACATTCAACTCATACATTATCCACTCAACATGATACAGCGGTAAGATACAGTCAAAAGATTTTTAACAATTCTCTTTACACGAAGACATAAAGTCGATAAAAAGCAAAAAAGCGAGACAAACACAGCACATGTCTTTTTAAGTACAGTGTCTAAGGTATTTTGAAATTGATGTATTAATGTCATACACAGGAACCTAGATGCATATTTATGATACCGTGCTCATATAAATGAACTAGCATTTTGAACTCAGCGTCGTAAGTGTGGGCTTGGTTGAGGGCATTGATATCATTGTGGTAGTGGTAAGGGACATCACTACCGTCAATGGCTGTTGAGTACGGCCAGAAACCGAAGACATTGATTCGATCACAGACATCGACGAGGGATAGAATCAAGTACAAACCTGTGAAACAGAAAAGAAACCGTTATTTGTCATCATTTACAAGTCAATAATAAACTACAATTGAAGCAACTGCGCAGCCATCTTGGGCTATTTAATACAATTGCATTTTCCAAGTCACCGGCCTTGGCGACATACATCAGTGCACTGAAGTGAATGGACTGAAGTTGGACGCCATTGTATTGAATATTCTGAATGGCCGCGCAGTCATTTCAATTTACACATCGGCAGTTACTTCTGAGCTGCCTATCCAGTGTACAGAGATCAGTGGGATAGTGCCTACCTGACGTCAATGTTCTTGACCCATAATGCTTTGTGCGTTGGTATAGTTGAGACGCAATTTCCTCAAAACATTTGTGAATGGCTGATGGCAACCCCCGGCTCGCCGTGCCATGTTCGGGTGATGGGGACACGTGCATTCCAACCAACCTGTCTTTTCTTTGCCAATAAGACGTGTGCACCCGTAAGCAGGAAGTCGTGGGTTTGAGTCCCAACCGAGTATGCTTGTGGGTTTTCTCACAAGCCTTCGGGGGCAAACACTGAGTATACAGTGTTGCATTATACGTCGGGCAGGGTAAAAATTCAGAAATTGAAGACCCTTCTGTTTCCACTTTCCTATTTCAACCGACTCTCTGAAAATAATTTATGGGGGGGGGGTGGTACATCATCCCAAACCGTATCCACGACTCTTCTCCTACCAGTTGTTGGCCAAAAGCGTTTAGCCCTTGGCGATGTTCGCCATAAGGTACGCACGGAGAGGTAGTGCTGAGGATGTCCGAGGACAGGCTGAGCCATCATGGAATGGACGGCAAACTGCGCTGTCTGGATTATGATCGGAATATCATAGTCGGCAGAAAAAGCTGGTAGCCATAAGTAACTGTCTTTAAACTGCTTGAGAATGGCGCCGAAGTGAACGAGGTCTTCTTGTGTCCGCAAACGATTTAAACTAGGGAAAACAAAGAGATTATATGCAATCTGAAGAACATTTTTAAGAATCTTACTTTTTCTCAAAGACATGCATTAAACAGGAACACGTGTCAGAATATCGTCCTATTCTTAAAACACACTGCTAAGACCAGTATACCCGAGTCACTAAATGCATTGTAACATAGTAATGGGACTAAAATGTGTGGCTAGGATATTTTTGCCGGAGTTACAGAGTACTGATCCGAAGTAGAGTTTATCTGACACCATTAAAGGTGGGTCAATTGCAAATTCACAGTTTGTTGTTCGGTGTTTGCATGAATTACTAATTCATTCTCACGAAATAGTACTGCAAAATAAATTCCCACGCTACGTAGATTTTTATTTTTCCTATTTCAGGTCTCATTTTTTTCGGAGGGGGGGATGGGTGGAGTTGGGAAGTATCCCCTTGGCCGCCTTCCCTTTGCGACACCCGTGGGCATGAGAGCTGAGAGCAACTCTCGATAGCAGTCTACTTCTGAACACGGATGCAAAGTGCCCACTTTCATATTACCCATACCCCCCCATCAAAATGACCTCATCAGGCCGGTGTCAGCATTTTGATACTTAATCAGACTCTTCGTGCTCAAGAAATGACTAAATAATTTGAGGTCAAGATTATGAAACACAAATCTGAGACAGATGAAGATCGAATACTCACTATTTTTTCAAGTAGGAAGGATTCAAAGTTGTGAAGTTGGTTTTGCTGCCTACGTCAGCCTCGAATCCACGTGTGGGAGCGAGGTTACATCTAAGAGGGATACGTTTAACCACTGAAGAAGCTTAGTTGGTCGTTTTTTTTACTCCGATTACATCTTATTAAGCAACGATGCCTAGCTTTGAAAAACAACTGCAGTTCCGAAGCACTCTCGTATTTCCTGTTTTACATGGTTCATTTTATTCAAGAGTTGGGAGAGTCAAATGCTGCTAACCCCAGCCAAACTTACCCTATACCTGTCTCACCTGAAAACAGCCTGCGATTGGTCAATTGCCTTCCCACAGCGAGAATCTCTCAAGATGCCGCTTGATCCAACCACGCTGCAGCTTGCAAACTGTCCCGGTTTGTAAATTTGGTTCTGCAAATACAGAAGGAGTGAAGGTCATGACGAAGCAAAACACAAATCACTGTCCGCGTGCTTTAACCAGCAAATTCCTGTTTCATTGGCAAAGACACTTAACACTCTAATCCATTAATAGTATTTTGGTCAAATTTCACAAAACATATATTTTTAGAATTTTTGTGAATTACCTTCCAATAAATTCCGCTTAAAGGCAGTTTTGAAGGTTTTGTATGGTGGTTCGTTTCGGGGTTGAATTATGCACATCTGTTGCTAACAGATAAACTTTGATCATCGAAAGTTACAATAACTGATTCCAAAAAGTTATCAATAATTAATTTCAGGTTCCGAAGGCCTTGACGTCAAGTAACATTTCTTATTTAGTTATTTATTTATTTATTTATTTACTTACTTAAATCTTAATTGAGGGTAACCCATCCAGCAGAAGCTGATCATTTGGGGCACCCATTAAAAAAGAATTACCACAAATGCACAAATATTCAAATACACAAATATATCAGAGTCCAGAGAAAAAAATATTGACATTTAAAATCCAGTAAGAATGAAAAAAAAAATGGAAAAAGAAAACAGTTTGGAAAGAGGGGAAAAATAGGTATAGATACAAGGGAAAAGACACAAAGAAAACATCGAGAGGACATTGAGCGCCCCCCACCTCCTGAAAGAATTAACAATCCATCCAAAATGCAAGTACAAATGAACTGGCAGAGTATCGGTATAAGATTAATACGTGTACATCGGACGCATATCCTATTATCTTTCAGCAAAAGTAGAATGAAAAGCTGAAAAGTAGATTAATGGCCTGAACGAATGGCGAGAGGAATGTCATTTAAAAACAGAAGTTCTGTAATTAAAACTATTTTTTAAAAGTTCACATTTAGGTTTAGGAACAAAGAAGTTGCCCTGTGATACTGCTCTGGTCGTTGGTCGAAGTAATCAATATCCAACTTACATAATTCAACAAGCTAAGAATTCAACATGACGTTTTCGTCACCTCCGCAGAAATTCATACGGAACAACCCTGTTAGCAGGAGTAGGTTTCCCCCCTAAATAACACGATGGAAACAGGAACACACACTCCATACAAAGCCTCCATCACACACCTCAGGTAAAAACTCCATTAGGGCCGGTGGAAACGTTTGGATATTTCCATGCAGGTAGAAACACATCTCTTCATCTTTTTCAATGTTGTTCTTAGTCAGTAGAAAATTCTTAATACTTCCTTCTTTTCCCAATGCAGCATGAACGCAATTTCTGTTCGATTAGAGATTGAAAAAGAACGTTACCCACTCTGGAAATACGTCAATCTTTAATAACCGACAGTGAGAATTGATAAAACTGTTTTTATTGGAGAAATAAACTTCAAGGTCAAGGAAGCATTATACACTCCTCTGATTTACAAAAACGTTTTTCAAACACAAAGTTCGTCTCGGCATTAGTAAACAGCGCAGGCATGCACACGCTAAGGCCTATGCTTGACAATTATTTGACTTATTTTGTAAACAACAGTAATCTAAGATATTTGAGCAGCTAACAATTATGAAGATCAGTGGCCTATTTCCAGCGGTCTAAAAATTTAAATGCACCCAAAATGTTTCACAACGGTGCGAAAATGGCAGCAATATTAAAAATGCAATGCCTAACCCTTCTGCAAATAAATGCTTGCATCCGCTGTCGATTATACTTCTTGGCGAGTAAAGGCAAAGGGAGGAAAGTGCTGCTCTGCCAATCTACACATCGATATTTGCTAGAGATTTTTTCCCCATTTTTCAAAGTTCGATTTTAGGTTTGACGAAAAGTTAACTAAACTGTGTGCAACCTTACCTGAATTCTTGTCTGTTTTGACCTTGAGGTTTCCATGTCTGTTTCTTGAGCATTTTCAGATGGTTGAAAAATATCGTTATATTTTCCTCATACAAGTGAGAGTACTTTTTAGAAAAGTGCCTGAAGTGAAGCAGAAAGCACAGAGACACTGTTAGGTCACTAAGAGTAATATTACGTGCAAATATGGCCTTTTATCATTCGCAAAGAACGCGTTCAAAAGCCCAAATGAGTGCGCCCAGACTTGTGAGTATGAAGCCACGCATGCACATCAAAACAACATGTCCTGTCACTGTCTTCTCGCCATCATCTCATTTTCAGCCGCATGCGCCGGTTCAGACAAAGAGCAACCCACTGCCGAACAATTATTATCCATTTGCTCAAATGTCTTCGAATAGCGAACGAAACTTCCGGGCTCCTTCACATCATGACATTAGCATCATACATATAAGAAGAATCCTTTCAATGAATCAGAATTTGAACCAAAGCATTACCGCGCACACATTCCTTAAGCAACACGCCATACGATATCCCTTTATAGACCTTCTTTGTGTGACATTTACATTATACATTCTGAAAGTACATCAGTTACTACAAAAGTCAGACATGAATCATGAAGTTGATTCCGATATAAAAAAAAGATTCCTCACAGGGTTCGCACAGAAAATTTGGCTCATCGATGAAAGCTTTGTCCAAGGTTGCGTGGCTACCAACAAAAGTAACACTTCCCACCGACATGGCTCTTTTCAACTGACGAGAGAGTACGTACATGATATGTACTTCTTCTAAAGTACGTGTATTCGATTCTTCGTTGATAAGCAAGGCCGCTTTGTTATCCAAAATGCTCGGCTGAAATCGCACACGATACTATAGTGGCTGCAACCACTGTCACAGGCTCGTAGGTAATTTCAAGCCGTAGCCAAGTCATTCGGACACGGCCTTACGGCTGGTGAAGGAATGACAATTACATAAATCCCTCTATATTTATGTGAGTATATTTGTGTATAGAGGGATCGACGTGTGTATAGGAATCGTAACCGACAGATCATAACACCTCCATGTCACCGAAAGTGTGATTTTGACGGCAGTTAAGAGAAAGGGAGGTTGTATGAGCCCTCCCATGAACATACTTCCAAAGTTACAGTTATAGCCTTATAAGAACCTAAAAATACCGGGAACCCTTTACTTTGTCTTTTTTAAGATATATTGACGTGTTTGTGCTAGCAGGATCTAAGAGGACCTGCAAGCCACCTCGATACACCTGTGAAAATGATGGGTCGTTCTTTCTGTAAGCGAAATTACGTCAGCCAACTTGCCCATTACGTTTGACATTCCAAAGGAGCGGGAGTTTTAAAGTTGTGTCCAGAGATGGTTCCGCCAAGGTTGGTCTTTTTTTATCGGAGGGTGGAATGGAATCTTCATTCCTCAACCGTATTTCGTGTACGCTATGGCACAGAATGTATACAATTTTCGGATAATGTCCCGGCATTTATCAACCTTTTTCTCCATTTTTTGTTTAAATTAATAATCCGTGAATGAGATTTTTCCTGGTGTCTATGTATAGCACGAATCCCAATCCCTCACTGAAGATTAACCATACTTCGTGTTCTATGGGTAATTCAAGAATTAGGGAAGAGTTAGGGATCTGATCTGATCTAATCTGATCTGATCTGATCTTATTTTATTTTATCTGATCTTATCTTAGAGGTGCATGCTCACACTTGATTTTGGACGGAGTCATTACAGTTTTGCGTTTTACTGTGGAGAGTTGTCATCGTAGGATACATATTCCAAAGTGCAGAATGCAACATAAGCTGTATTCTGAATTGACTTCATTAAAAGCTAATTATATTGACGACTGATGAAGAAGAAACCTTCGGTTTGGGTTTGTTCCAGGATTACGTTACAAAAAAGAAAAAAATGGTTAGAAGTATTTTCAGCTCCGAATGGGCATTAAGCGACACATTCTGCGCAAACAATTTTGACAGAAGTATTTAACTGAGAGAACTAAATGTTGCTGAACACTCCTGACACATGTCTCCGCAATGACTTTTGTTGTCGTTTTGTTTTAATGGCGCTTTCAGCAACTCAGGTTATTTGCGTCAATAACTGTACGTTTATTCATACACTTTATTAATCAGCATCACATTACGGAGTTAGGAAGAAGGTCCAGTTTTAGAGGCAGGAGGAAACCGGAGTACCCGGAGAAAACCTGCGAGAGCGAGTATGGACTGGAAACCAAATGCACTCAAAGCCTGGGCCAAGCCGGGACTGGAACCCAGGCCTCATTGGTGCAAAGCGAGGAAAGAACCAACCCGTGTATCTCGTGGCAGATACATAACGTCTAAAACGAATGAACACTACTACAACGGAATAACCACCGTGAAATTGGCCGACATATCCATCATACGCCGACAGCCGAATGTATTGTTTTCATTACACGTAAATGCAGGTTTGATTATGTTGGGACAAAATCAAGAGGAAATAATGCGTGCTAACCCGTCGTGCTAAGAGCTGTACGTTTGCTACATCAGTGTTGTAGTCGTCGAAACCTCTCGAGACCAATTTGAACCGGTCTTGGTCTTAGACCCCTGGTCTCGAACTGTTGATGTCTGTCTCTGTCTTGACTTGGACTGCCTGGTCTTGCCTACAACTCTGCACGCATGTTCACCCCTTTAATTGTGCGTGCATGCGCTAAACTTCGGCAATGTCGTGATCACTTTCTGTTGCTTGTCTAGATGGCGATGCCAGCCAGCAAACGAATATACAAAAATCCATATCTGCCGAGATCTTCCACATTGTGTACAATTTTTCTTGATTTGTACCAGAGAAATATAATCAGGCTTCAAATTTCAATTTGTGATATGTTTCTTGTTAATTTTAAGTGACATTTCGGAGAAAATGGGGTGAAAGATGCTTGTGTACGTCACATTTCCGAACGTAAAAAAGGGTATTTAAAAATAAAAGTTTTGAATTGTTCTCCATTTTTTCACACATGCTGCATATCTTGGGTAATTGAACGTTTGTTTAAAAAAGGGTACCATGTTACGTTTAAGCTATTGTGAATTATTCTTCGTTAGTTTTATCAATTTTAATTTTGGCTCTCTGTTGATTGATGGTCGGTCATGATTTCTGTGTGCACATGTGCACTTATACATGTACATGTACAAGTACATTTACTCCATCAACGCATGTATACATGCACTACTACGGACAAATGAGTTTCGTGCAAAATCTGAACTTAATTTGTTGGTACTTTGTGGTTTCCATCCGCGGAAAGATGAGTCGGAACGTTGTCCGAAGTCACCTGCCTCAAAATCCACAGTAAAGTGATCAAGTGCACATGCGCCAAATCTCAACTAAGTAGTGCAAACTACTTAGTTGAGATATATATGTATCTATTTCCTGAATATGTCCACCATAAACTGTTTTAAGAAGGGTGAGGGCGCCCTTACCTCAATGCTGTCACCTGGGAGGAGATATTTACTCTTGACTTCCTTGTCCAATGCACGCTCTCCAGATCAAACTCAAGTACTGGCTTACAACTAGGCTCACTTTTGGAGTTTCTCGTGAAACGAAAAGCGAAATATAGCAAAGCGAGTAGGGCGGTACCTCGGTAAATGCCACGTCTAAATACAGCTCGCCTACTCTTTGGTTTCCAACAAGAATCGACGCAGCTACCGTAGCAGAAATGGCTTCTCCAGGATTTCCGAGCCATAATTACCGTATGGTAATCTGTGCACTGCACACGTACTCGCTGCTAGTTGTGCAAGGCGATGTTTGTTTTCCACTCAATGTAGAATCTTCAATGCCAACCCTAAAATAAAAACAACAGGTGTGTTCGTGACTTATTATCAAGGCTCGAGGCTTTGTTACAACTAATGTCTACAGATAATCGCAAATTGACGATTACTGAATCTGCAACTTAACTGATAGTTCTTCGGTATTTCCTCAACAAGCAATATTGCTCCCAAAATCACATAACCATTACCCCAAAGCTATGCCTCTTTTGGAGTAGCAGAGGAAGCAGAAACATCAGGTCGTATGAATAAAAACTAGCAAATGCTGTGAAGTTCAAGCAAACAGCAAACGCGTTTATTGAGAAGTCAAATTACTAAGAATAAGCAAATGCTTGAGTTTGTGCAATAAAATGTTTTCTTTTCCATTCAGCATCTACTAGTATAAATATTAGCAAATGCTTTAAGGCCAATTCATACTCGCTGCGTATTCACTGTGTACGCAGCGCGAAGGTCTATTTTGAGGTGTCTGCAGTGCATGAACGAAAGCACAGTGCATAATGAAAATGCGCACCCTTGCACAAAGTTTGTGAAAATAATGGATAGTGCGAGCGCACCAAATGTATGCGTATTCGGACAAATTAAAAAATTGAATCTTTTGTCGGATACGCACACGCAGCCGAGACTTGAGAAAGCATGACGGTACGTATGAACGTCGAATGGCGGCGTTCACATTACGCGCTGCGTGTGTGCAAACGCAGCGAGTATGAACCAGCCCTAGACCTCAGCATGGCAGACAAGCACGATGGCAGTAATTTTGATCGCAAAAACCTTGATGAAGAAAATTGCTCTGCCACTCCACTCTCAAGGCGGTACAGCTGCAGGCATCTGGTTTCTTGAGATTCCCTACTAATATACAGCTTTTCCTTCAGAACAACATTCATGAACGCTGCCATTTTGAACATGGCTCCTCATTTTCAAGCTTGCCTGACCCAGTCTTGATAAATGTCAAGTAAATACTCCAATTCTGTAGAACTTACTGGTTTTTATTCATACAAAATGAAGCAACTGCTTATTGTCAAGCACAAGCTTAAAGAGTAAAAAGTAAATACTTTTACTTTTTAGCAATCGCACTAAAGTGAAAGCATTTGCTTCGTTATTATTCATACAAACACGAGGAAATGCTTCAAAAATGGCAGTAAAAGCAAATGCTACTTTATATTCATACGACCCATTAGTGCCCTGTTTTGCTAAAAAGCCAAACTAAATGCTTGTATGTATTCCTTGCATGTCCTTATACATGTCCTTTTTAATTTTGTTTTCTTTCGACTGACTTCTAATAATCAATAATCTTTTAAATTAGAGATGAAAAATCCTAAAATGCTACTCATTTCCTTTCCAGTTTTGATGACAAGCGTGTCACAAGAGATTTTCTGTATTGACACCTACTGCCGTGTTATGTACAACGTGACCCCCCAAAAACCGCGACACAAAAGGAATATTTATTATCTCCCTAAATAATTCAGATTTTGTTCTTTTTACCACATTAAAGCTTAGGATGAAGGCATCTACCCTAAGCTTCTATCTGGCAGATAGCTTGTAAGCCCAACAATTTCTTACAAAATTCGAGAGAAAATGAATACTCTTTTTGTTGCATTTTTTGGACCACCCTGAATAACTCTTGATCGTTTTGTCTTTGAACGGCGCTGTTTTAATAAACAAACAGTAAAATGCAGAAAAACAAAATCTTATATTTTCGGTTAGGTATAATGAATGATAGTGAAATTTTTAGTACTCTCGACTATGAATTAGGACAGTGACTGCCAAGTTAAGTTTTATTGATATATTGCGTTATTTAGATGATCGTTTATGTCCTGATTCACTTCGTAGACGAGAAATCGATGTCTTAAATTAAAAGATGAATGATTAAGACTTTAAAATCTTTATTTGGTACTAATTTGACAAAACCCCTAATAATCAAGTAAGCATACAGTTATTTAAACAAAGAATCTCTATGGTTTAAAATATTACCCAATCGCTTTTCCGAGTTATTATGTTACTTACTTGTTTTTTAAGATAAAATATTACCAGTTTTTTATTTTTTTCCCCAAAAATTTGACACAATATATGGTTCGTATAAAACTTACCGGTTTCGTAAAGTTGTATACAGTCTGTTAATTTTTTCCTAAGTTGTTCGGAGGACTGTGGAAGCTACATCAACATATTGAAATATGATGGTAATAAACATGAATAATAAAAGTGGAAACTCTGAACATAAAATCTCGGACTGTTTTGTTGGTTATGATTACACAGATCTGTAGCACACCGATACAGCTGTTACAGTGCTCTTCTGATGAACTCAGTGACCCACATGTTGTAAACATCCGTAGGGGGATGGATTTCCGCGCCAAAAAAATTAGAGTGGCAGTCGCTAGATAATGAAAATTAAATATTTCTGACCGGTTTTAATAGGTTCCCATGCAGCTTATCATAACGCATCCCTACAACACAAACAAGTACGCTGCCTTAATGTTACTGGTCGACCATGCAGGGTTCGATGAACTGTGTTTTGAAAGAAGGTCGGGGAGTCGATGCAGTGAAGGGTCGCGTGTCATGCGGGTCAAGGCGATTTCGAGCAACGGGTTTGTGACATGTGGCTGCCTCAGGCAGAATTACTTACGCAGAGATGAGATTCGGAGTTTTGATTCTCAAAACGTGAAAATCCATATTCACCCAATTATTGACTGACCGCTCGCAATCCCACTCAACCCGCACGCGACACAATAAATCATGAGTCACTTGACCGTGACAATTTAGCTGTCAGTTTTAGTTTAATTGGATGTGACTGAGATAGCCTAGCAATTTGCTATTTGAAGAGAAGAAAACCGAACATATATGTACTATACGGATAACTCTGAACCATGCCATGACCGTTTGGGTTGCGCCGGAAACTGTCTAAAATCAAAGAGGTGAAACCGTGATTACCGAATGATCCTCATGTTTTGACAATAAAACAACAATGAACCGTTTCCTACAGTTCGTCGTCAGGAGGTTGAAAGAGAAAGGAAAGTATTCTTACCAAATTTGGTTTCTGGGAGTCCACGGAAGGAGAAAGAGCTGAAAAATTCTGACAGGTTTATAGGCGGGGTCCTTGCTTTACGTGCAACATGAAAAACACGTGCAATAAAGATGGCTGCCCACATTATGGAGATGACAGTATCGCAACTGGAGGTGGAGACAATTATGGCAGGTCATATGGTGTTAGGTCAGTGAGGCAACATGAATTATGAAACAGTGTGTTCAAGGCCCAGTTCGGAGAAAACATGGTGTGTTTTATTTCATTTTATCGAAATATTTTGGTCCCTGGAAATAATGTACCATTTCCTCAAAACGTTATTTTGTTCCCTGGAAATACTGTAACAACTTTTGAGTCATTAAATTAGATTGTATTGACCCCAGTACTGTAGAGCTCAGTCCTTTTGCTCACGTACCTTTGTTCTTCATTCTTACAGTGGAGCGTTTCTCTAGCTTTGTGAAATAGAAAATGCACTGTTTGAAACAGTCTGTTTCTTCAGTTCATCGAGTTCTGTGAATTCCTGTAGCATTTTTAGTCCAGGTTAGCATTCCTTTTTACATTTTTGTGACCAGCAGGCCTATTAAACCTGGTTAAACCTGCCTGTACACATGTTCCCTTCCTCAACTTAATTTTGGATTTGCCCTTCCCGACGTGTATTTAACACTGTATAGGGCCTACTCAGTGTGCCCCCGAAAGCTTGTGAAAAACCCACAAGCGTACTCAGGTGGGACTCGAACCCACGACCTCCTGCTTACTAGTGCAGACGTCTTAACCACTCAACCACCGAGCTTGCCGGTGTCGGCTGGCTGGTTCGAATCGAATTGTTTACGGTACCCGCTGCTACAGGAAAACCCCTACAAGAATTAATTTCAACGGTTTGTGTTGCACTCCATATATGTTGGAAACACGCGGTGAGACTACGGCATTCACAAGTATGGAACACTGGCTACGGCTCTTCACGGGTGCCTCTTTTATGGTGTTCTATAGCCACCAAAATTGCCTCGCGACACCACAACGCAACGCTACAACAGCTCCGTCGCGTCATCCCGTCTCGTCATGGTGTCGCCTCTTTTCTCATTACTTTTATGTTATGTTTAATACATTGTGTCGTGCCGTCTTGACGTCGCGTCGTGCCACTGCATGGTGTTATTTCTTGATGATGTTGCGTCTTGCCGTCGCGTCTTGCCGTCGTATTGTGCCGTCGTTATGTAGCGTCGTGCCGTCGTAGCGTCGCGTTGCCTGTCTATGGGTGCGTTCGAGGGAAGGGAAGGCCGGGAAGCCTCGAAATGAGGGTAATCGAACGCTGCAGTGTACTCGCCAAGGCATTCTGGGAAAAAGGTCAAGTCCCCGCCACGTTCCATTATGTACGTCCATGCATGACCAGTCCATCCGTGACGTCATTACACTCGGGCAGCCTCCAGAGACCCGCTCGCCGGGGTAGTAGTGACTGACACCAGGGCAGGCACGAGGATCACGTGATGGCTAAACGAACGCTCTCGTGTAAGTTTGACTTACACGTGTAAGCTATTCGAACGCACCCATTGTAGAGTTTTTATATAGTGTGGATTAGGCCGTCCCGTCGTGCTGTCGCGTCGTGCCTTCGTCCGTCGTATCGTCGTGCCTGCACTGTCTCTAAAATGGCTGGTGATTACTAAGGCCAATAGAGGGCGTATATCACAAGTCCTGAAAAAAATCATGTGCGTGCATAGGCTTTCACTCATTGATATCCATTATACATACTGGAAAGGACATCGCGTCCAAAACGCGTCCTGCGTGTGCATATTTTCAGGAAGGTAAATAACAAGCGTTGCGAATTTTGTTCCGTGCACTTTCAAACGGAGATCTCAAAACGGCTGGTTGAGGTTATTGTACTTCAATCGTCAAATTTTGAAGATAAACTGAATTCTGCCCCCTGAATGGATAAATTTGGAAAGAATAATGGTTGAGGTGTGCACAGCAGAGAATTGCCGGAGATCGATGGTAAAATCACGTTTGGAAGAAGGAGCAGCTTTTGACATATGAGTCGCACGTTCAGAAGGTTTCTGCACGCCTTGTGCTATAATGCTTTGGACCACCTAAAATATTATTAATCAGCAAAATGGTTTTAAAACTGAGTGATTAATTTGTCTTAAATTTTTCAGATTTCAATGAAAAAATCTCAAAGAAAGCCATGATTTGTGTACGTGAGATCTGCAGACGCATTGAACCCAAATCGTGTGAGAGACGATGTGATATGAGTGACGGAATATCCATCTTCAAGGCAGAGATGAAACTAAAGCGAGAGACAGAGAGCGGACGTTTACGTCCAGTGAAGTAACAAACATAGAAATTCAATCAATGCAACAAAAGAAACTTTGTCTAAATTGTAAAATTATTCGTTCTCAGTTGGCATTGACCTTTTCTTTTCAGAAACTCATTGTTAAATTTAATTTTTCGTCAAGTTGGGAACTTAATATTTTTTTCAATTTGATTTATAAGTGTCTGTGGTGAAAGTGGCACAAACTTAATTAGTTTGGGTCGCTGTCAAAGTTCTGCTTACTTTGTGCTCACAGAAAAGATTCTCACACTTATCAGTTTTTAATAAATTTATTCAGTATATGAATGAATTTCAATACAGGTTTTTTTCCTGTGAGTCTTTAAAATTAAAATTAAGGCCTTTTCATTTAAATGACGTTTTTCAATATTGACTCATTGACAACAACGGAAAATACGTGGACAGTTTGGACATTACAAAGTAAAACCTATTGTGGGTCTTGGTGGAACTTTAATGTTTACATACTCAACATTTCACGATTGAACCAACTCAGAGTGACAACATTGCCCGAACAAGACCGTAGTCAAGAGGTATACGTGTGAAAAATGAAGAAAAAACAAAACAAAACAAACACAACACACAGAAAAAAACAGGTTAATTATTATCAGTTTCGAGTGGGTTATTTAATAAGAAAATTGTCTGTTAATTCGAGAAATGATATTCTTGCATTATAATTTTTCCCCATAATCAATTTTGACTAAATGCGCACCATACAGCATCACGTTACCCTCTTGAAACGCAGCGCGCCGCCATTGTACGGCCGCACATTTTGTACACAAACAAAGGGCGATGACCTATTCAGTCTTTATAATGGAGATCAATGGTTGCACTACACCAAATACGCGCCTCAAACCGAAAAAGCGCCGCGTTTTTCACTGGAAATTTAAGATTATGGCCAAAAGATAATTTCAATTTTATGGGGGTTAGCCACGTGAATATTTTTTTATTCAATTTTCCCCGAAGATACCCCCCAATGAGAGTAGTAAAATTCTGCACTCAGCTCTGAATGTAGCCGCCCGCCTCTATCCAAAATAGGTCTGCAATTTGAGGCTTTTTGCGAAAGAAATACCCCGAAGTGGAGACAATCAGTCCCGAATTCGGAATTTATAGAAATATATACACGGCACAACGCAACAGAGCTGTCGTAGCGTCGCGTCGTGACGTCGTGTGGTGGCGTCGGGGCGACGGGATGACGTGACGCACATTTGGCGGCTATAGAACACCATACTCTTTTGATCTAAATTCGAAGCCTTAGTCGCAGGAGATTGGACCGGATTATGGCTACCCCTATCATTCGTCACCCCATACAATCTGATGTGTATTAATTGATACACCCGCAGCGCTACTGAACATAATTGTTTAAGACCAGTAGGGCGTGGACTTATGACTAGGACGTGATTGTGAATGCTGCATTGTGTGTGATTTTGTTCTGTTTAGTGCACTATATAGTTTTGATATAGTTAGGCCTACTTTGCCATGGTTATCTGAAATGTATTAAATTTGTTGCTTTGCATCACCACCACCAGTGTTTTTCTGAAGGGGTTCTCAGGTCTGTGCAGTCTTAATGTGAGTGTGTTCCAATTTCCTGGTTTATCTTAGTCCTTAAACTTTTCTACCAAGCCTGGACTACGATGTTGTTTCACCATAGTCAACTCCTATCGACTAGCACATCCTTTGCTCTCAGTAAGTTTTTTTTTTATTTACGTTCTTATTTAGATCTACATAGGCTACCCTGCTTTCCTCTGGTGAATTAATCTTGCTGTTTGGTGGATAAGGGCCAATTAAAGTTGTAGTAATTCTAATTATTTGAAAATGTATATAGATTTCTTCATTTTTTCTTTTTCACACATTGTTTGAGTAGCAGTCATTAATATTATAAGGGCGTAGATAAATCTGCGCTTCAGGTGTGCCCTGGCGAAAGGATTTTGCCTTGCAAAATGGTTTCAATCAACTTGGACTTGGACCTCTGCCCAGTACGAGACCTTCAATGTACTCTGTGCTTTGGACTCAGACTTGTCACCAGTGTACTTTTTACTCATCCCGGGACTCGGCTCATAAAGTACTCAGAGTACTCTGTACTAAGATTTGAGGACTCAATTCCGACAATGGTTGATAGTGTAATATTTGTTGATGAGGCGCTCAAGAGTTGACATGACTTGGTTGTCGCTTTGTGATAGTTTGGATTGTAAAAAGTGGTGCTACAGTCCGTCGTCGATGGGAAGTATTTTCATGTAAGAGGAGAAATGTTAAACGAAGTCAACAAATAATGGGTGAGCTGCCTACAGTCCGAGTACTTTCTTTCGTTATAACGGTATTTTGTACGTGTACGGTATTTTGTACGGTATTTTGTACGACGAATACTGTCCAATCAGAATGATTAGACTTCACGAGTCCTTCCTTCTGTCGTCTAATTCAATCATGGACGAGGACCTACATATTTATTAAATTAATTATATGCATCATTTATATGTTCATTGCCTTGCTATTTAAATAAAGCTGGCGAACTTGAAATCATCATTGTGAGCAGGAATGTTTCTACAATAAAACCGAACTCAGAGTATTAAAATTACAGACAGGTGTTTGCTCTCGGGAAATTCAAACGCCATGCAAAGCACACAGTGCTGTGTTGTATTACTGTAGGATTCAGTTGACTTGTGTGACCATTTACATGAACTCATCTTTCCATCATGAATCCAGTGGTTGTAGTTTGCTTGATCAACTTTTACTATATCATTCGTTGATAGCGATACCGCCGTTGCCTCCATATTTTGGCGATAACGAGCTTGCGTTGCTGTGGAATTCATTTGGTAACCTTCTCAGGCTTTTTCTCTGTAG